ACTTCCCCAAGGGGGCGTAAACTTTCGGCCAATAAGAGCAGAAATTGAGAGCCCGAGGAGGGGAAGGGAGGTCTAGCTACACAGCCCCTGCACTTAGGCTTACCTCCTTGTGGGCGACCAGGGTCCCAGCTGAATCTCGAGTTACCTGCCCTTCTTTCCCAATGTTTAAACAGTTTCTAGAAGGAACCTCCCAAACTGAAAGGCAGAGAGTGCCGTCTCCTGAGATGACGCGGGCAAGCAGACAGGTTGGCCCCAGGATAGACGGAGACAGCTGTGAGATGGGGGAAGGGAGAGGGACAGGTCCCAAATCCAGGGCGTGGAAATAGCCCTCCTGCCATTCTCCCCAACCTGCTCCAGCACAGATTGCTTAAAAGATGCCACTGCTACTTTAAAAAATGGTTGAGGGGTGGGAACGATGTCAAAAACATCCCAAAATGAAATTTGCTAAAACAGGAGCAGCCCCTCCCCTCACCCTTAGAGCTACACTTGCTCCCTAACCCAAACAACTGGGAGGTGGGTGGGGTGCTAAACCAAGGAGAGCTCAAGCACTTGTCTTCCAGAGGCCTTGGTGCCAAATCCGTCTGGCTCCAGGCCTGGCCCAGGAATATGCTCAGAAAGGAAACTCTGTCACAGCGGAGACATAGGGGATGGGCGGGGAAACATAGGCCTCCCTTGGCTCAGCAGCTTATACCACAGGGTCAGCTTAGGGGCCAGATCTGCCATTCCCACTCCCAGGGACCCTGGGGAGTATGTATCTCCTCAATCCCTAAGCACCCTACCCAGCAGTGATAGTGGTTCACTGCAGCCTTTTCACACAGCAACAGCAAGGAGTCCTTGTCTGGGATTTTCAAGTCATTTTATTAATCCAACAGTACAAAACACCCCCCCGCCCAACCACCGCATTCTGCCATCACTGTCTTCCAAAAAAGTAGTGGAGTGAGAGGGCCAGGGAGCAGATCCAGTAAAGACACTCCCCCAGGAGCCATTTTACAAAATGCAGGGGGGAGGAAGACAACACAAAAATAGCAACAGATAAATGAGGCCAACAGAACCACAAACACAAGAGCTGAGCGGGGTGGGGGGATGCCATCTCTGCCGTTTTAGTATGGGGGACACTGGGAGCAACACCCAGAGGCCTGCTCGCTCATTCCTCAGGGCCTCAAAGGCTGTCAGCTCCACCAGCAGGATCTTCTCTCCTCATGCCAGGAACTGAGAGAAGTGGGAATAGGGGACCACTAACTTGTCTGAGGAGGACCACACCACATGCCTGCCTTCCCCACCTCACGGAGGAACATGTAGAACCGAAAAGAACAAGCAGCAGTGAGATCCTCATCAGGCCCCAGGCCCATGTCTGGCAGGCAGTGCTTAAAAAATAAAAAAATACAAATAAAAGCCCAGTGCAGGCCTTTGGCTGAGAGGAATGAGAATTGGTTATCACCAGGCCCAAGAGGATATGAAAAAACAGCATGGAAAGAGAAGCAACAAACTCCAGGTTCTTCTACCTTTGAGTACCATGGCAATGAGGATCCCACCACATCTCCTACCCACAGGCTGTCAGAGGGCCTCATTTGGATCCTTTCATAAGCGAGAAAATGAGGTATAAGGGCTCTGCGCCTTTTCAAGCTTTCCTTCAATCAAGCCAGGAAAGTAGGGGAATAAGGGCGCTGAAAGTTGCAGAACACACGAAGTATCATGTGTAACAGATGGGCTGCAGGAAGGAGGGTACCACCGAAGTCCAGACTTCCAGGACAGCCCAAACTTCAAATATTCTGGTCTGTCAGATAACATAACCCAATTTTTGGCAAAAATGTGGTCATCAGGAGAAAAGCATGAGAGGCTGAAAAAGGACCAGTGACTTTGGTATGAGGAAGACATGTCCTGATGGCATCTCTCACCTACTGTTTTGAAGCCCCAAATCACCAAGAAACTGCCATAACCAGGGTTATGCTTCTTCAGGCTATTTGGTTCTCTGAAGGGGGAGGAGTTGGGTAAGTCTTGGAGGAAGCAAAGGAGTGGGTAGAAAAAGGGGAAAATCCCCATTTATTCCCTAAAGCTGTCTCCCAGAGCCCATAAAAGGGCTATTGCAGGGATGGCAACACAATTCCTCTGGCCAGAAACCTTTAACACGTGACTCCAAAAACTAAGGCTGGAGCTGTGGGGCTCGGTAGGGGTATTAGGCACAGGTGTTAGGGGCATCCATCATCAGCAGAGGGAACACCCCTGCCCTCTGGATCTTCCCCCAGCCCCTTTACTCTTGCAGCCACACTCCTGGGCCTCCAGAAATAGCCACAAAATGGCTCTGCTCAGCAGGGCTTTGGTTTCCTGGATCTCTGTAGATCTCAACATGTAAGTTTCTCAAAAAAGTGAGCAATCCAGGCTCTTCTGCCTGCCCACCTCAATTCCTTTTCTGCTCCCAGGAGCCACTGTTTCTGCCCCATGGGGATGGAAAGCCAGTGGAAACAAGGACCAAGAGCCAGACATCAAAAAAATCACCCTGGAAGAGCAGGGAGAGACATGTGCACTTCCCTGGGCCATTTCGCCAGCGTCACCCATCGTTAGCAGCCACAAGCTGCCCCATGCCCTCACGGATGTAGACAGACTGGATCTCCTTGGTCTTGAGGCAGAGATCACAGGCCCAGACGGCAGAGGCTTCAGTGGTCAGCAGCCCATAGGCGCTCTCAGTCATGCCTGTGCACTCACGGTGGAACCACTTCTGGCAGGAGGCCTCACACAGAATGGCATCCTGGTCGTCGTTCACCTCACTCCGACAGGCACCACATGGGTACACCAAGCCTGGGGGAGGCTGGGGCCCAGAGCCCCCACCTGCCTTGCCAGGAGGTGCCAAGTTGGCATCTGGAGTGCCCCCACCCCGCCCACTGCTGTTCGGGGGGAAACTGGGCTGGTTCCCATTAACAGCAGCAGCGGGGGAGCCTGAGTGGGGCTCCTGGGGAAAAGCAGTAGGAGCAGGTGGATTCAAGGGCTTCCCCCCATCCTCACCACCAGGGCCAGGAAAGCCAGGGTCCGGACCAGGAAAGGGACTTGTGTTGGGGGGCAGGCTGGGGAGCCCCTGACCAGGTCTCTGGAGAGGAGAAGGGCCAAAAGGAGCCCCTGGCTGAGCAAATCGTTGGGACAGAGAAGGTGGGCCCAGCTCTGGTCTCGGAGGCTGTCCCATGGTGGGTGAGATCATGGGACCAAATCCCCCCACTGGGCCTGGCATCATCTGCCCGCTAGGAGGACTAAAGTTTTGACCCAGAGGCTGGTTGAAGGGTTGGCTGGGAAAGTTCATGTTGCCTGGGGGTGGGTAGCCAGGGCCCTGGGGGGGCATGTTGAAGGCAGGGCCCATAGGATTGGGAGGGAAGGGGGGTGGCTGTCGACGAAGTGGCTGGGGACCCCCTCCACCTCCAGTGCCATAGCCTGGGGGTACCTGGCCCGCCATGCCCCCCTGCACACGGAAGCCTCCAAAGGGCACAGGACTGCCAAGGAATGGAGGGGCTGCACCCCCCACCTTAGGGGCTCCGAAGTCATCTTCAAAAGGGTTGGATGCAACCAGGTGATCCACCATGGGAGTCGGGGGTGGTGCAAATTCCGTCAGATGTGAGTATGCAGGGCCCTAGTGGGAAACAGTTGAGGGAAAGAGGGTCATGGAGGGAAGCACAGAACTAAACCAAGAGAGCACTGCCAACACAATACACATTTTGGAGGCTGATAGTGGCCAGCTCAGGTCTAAAATCAATATGGATCACAGACCGGGCCCAGTGGCTCACACCTGTAACCCTAACACTTTGGGAAGCTGAGGCAGGAGGATCCCTTGACCCCAGGAGTTTGAGCCCAGCCTAGGAAACATAGTAAGACTCTGTGACTATAAAAAAAAAAAAAAAAAAAAAAGGATGACGAGAGAGAGGTGGAGAGTGGAACCTGCATAGTGCAGTGACTGCGTTTTAAATAGGCAGAACTAGGATGAAATCCCAGCTCTGACCCTGAACAACCTCAAGACTGTGGAGCACATATTTAACATTTTTAACCCCCAGATTTCTCGTCTGTAAAATAGAGATAATGCCTATCTCCCCAACCGGTTGAAGCATGTTAGCACAATCCCTGGCACTAAAAAAAGGCTCAGTAAGTGGTAGATACTACATTCTCATCATGAGGAAACCAGGATAGGAAACATGGAAGAGACCTGGAACCCCGCCTGGTAAGAACTTTGGTCGAATCAACCACCTCTTAGGAGAGGATACTTTCTCCTATATTTGTTATAAGGTTCAGGGAAAGAACCAGAAACGGACCAAGACAGTTTTCTCTCCTCCCTGCAGCTGATGGAAGATACAAACAGATACTGGAACAGCAGAGTAGAGAGTGTCCCGCCAAGGGGCTGCTGGGAAATACTCCCACGACCAAACACCATTCACCTGAGTATTTGACTTTCTTCGCTTCTTTTCTGGGCTCTTCATTTGCAGACCTGGAAGAGCAGCAAAAGGAAGACGCAGACAAGTTTCCCTGAGGTTTCCCCAACCTCTTTTCTCTCAGCCATGCTCTGAGGAACTCCTTTGACGTCAATACATACTTGCTTATTTATTTAGCAAATGCTAACAAGGGATGCAATAGGAAAAATAGATTGTGAAGATGATCATACTCTCAGCCATGTCTTCCTTTAAATGAGAGATGTCCCATCTTTCGAGATCCTCAAGCTCCAAGTGACTACTGAATTGCATGTGGCTCCAAACCCTACAGTCCTCAATGTGTGACACCTGCCCCCAATCCCTGGAGCGCTACACCCACTCATCCTTTTCACCTGAGCCTCCCTTCAGGCCCTTCAGCCTGTGAAACACTCTCCGCCCACCATCTCTCCCCTCTGAGGTTCCCAACTCCGGGGTCTCTGCATCCCCCGCCCGTCGCAGCGCTCTCACCGGCCTTGCCCTGCTTCCTCCCGGTGCTGGGCGGCGCAGGGGGCGGTGCGGGGCCGCCACCTCCCTCCAGCTTGTCCGGTGGGGGCGGCGCCGAGGCGGCCATGGAGTGGGGGACCGGGGTCAGCGGCGGCGGCGGGGGATGGAGGCGCCCTCGGGCTGCACCATCGCCCAGAAAGGGAGTCAGAGGCAGCACAGGCCCCCGAGCTGCAGCAACCCCAATGTGCGGCGACCGGAAAGCGCCAAGCCGAAACGCGAACTGCGCGCTCTCTTCAGACTCGCTGCCCGCCAGCGGCGGCAGCAACCGGAACCGGAACTCGGCGCGGCTACCACCACTGAGCGCGGCGGGAAGGGGGAGAAAGGACCGGCCGGGGGTCTACGCTTGAAAGCCTGCGAGGGGCGAGGCGTACCACGGCACCACGCGAGTGGAGAGGGTCGTTTCCGCTAGCGGGCGGCCCACACCAGCTGACCAAGGGGCGGCGGCGGCGGCGCGCGGCGGCCCTGCTAGTGGACTGTACCATCCCGGGCGGTGGAGCCGCCGCGAAGGGGCGCGCGCGAGCCGGGGGCGCGCCCGGAAGGCCCAGGGAGCCCGGGGACCGGCGTGGGGGCGCCAGAGCCACCCCCTCCGCGGACACGACATCCCCACGGAGACGGTGGGGCGGCACGGCCCACCCTGCCACGCCCAAACTCTGCAGACCCCCAGCTTCCCTCGGCCGCCGCGACCTCCCGTCTCCCTCCCCCTCTGCCGCTGAGGGCCCGCGGCGAACACAATAGGCTTCTCAGAAGGGTTAAGAGGCCGAGGTAGAAGAAATACAGACTTTAATGAAGAGTTTTCCCTTTGGTATAAGTGAGACCCGTGGAAACCCAAACGACAACAAAAGGAGGCCAGGATGAAAACGGTGAACTCTCCCCTATCCGCAGGCCGAAGGAGGGGGCCGGCTTGCTCTGGTGTGGCTTGTAGGAGGTGCTCAGAACTGCAGCCTTCGCGTTTCCCCTCCGTGAAACTGACAGGCATTCGGGCAAACTTCTGCCTCTCGGCCTCCCGGTAAGAGGCCCAAGTTTTTCTCGTCCTATCTGGAAATCAGTTTCATCTGCCTCAGGTCTCTGATATAAAAGATAATGCTGCCGATCCCAGTTACCTCACAGGCCTGGGCGAGGAAAATGCCAAGAGCTGTAAAAGGTCTTGGAAAAGTCAAAAAGGTGATGTATAAATGTAATAATTGATTATCATTTTGTGCTCAAGAATAAGCCATGGAAAACAATTAGGAAAGTAAGTCTACAGCCCTAAAATATATGCATATAAAATTTTAAAAGAATGCAGTTCCAACTCTGCAGATGGTATTTGGGGATTGTCTACTGCTTTAGAGTTTCAATGCCCCTTTTCTCACCTCCACAAAATCCACTTGGGAGAGTTAACTGTACAAGGGGCCCAAATTCGTCACCCCACTCCCCCATCCCAAATGGGAGGCAGGGCACAGGCTCGAGGAGGAAGGGCTACACTTTGGCTGTAGAGTACAACAGGCATGCAACATGGGAGGGCGGGCCTTATGAAATGTATATACAGACCCCTTGGGGTGAGGGGCCCCGGCCAGGAGGCACTGAGCAAGGGAGGGGTCCATCTCCCCCCTGGCCGGGAGGGGGGCTCTGGGGCAATCTCTAAGGGTTGCGTATCCCCAGGGAGAGGGGACAGCTGCCACTCCTGCCTCTGTTCTCCCAGCCCAAACTGGAGAGGATGCTGAGCAAGGAGAAGACAGGTCCCAGAAGCCAAGAAGGTGTTGGCATCCCTGTGATTGAACTCAGGGGCCCAAGAACTCTGCATAAAATATCTTCAGACCTAAGAGATGGTCAAAGGCACAAAGTTTAAACATGGGGGTTGGGGGGCATTGGGAGGGGTCTGGGGTACCCTGAAGCCCAGAGGTGTGATTCGTTCCCCCTTGCCCAGAAGGGTGACTGTTCCACTGGGCCTGTCACCACAAGACATTTTCTATGACAAGCACTCACCTTCTTGGGGAAGGGGCATCAGGTTGGCACAGGAAAGGCCCAGGTAAGGGGCCACTCTGTACATTAATACTTTGGTGATTAATGTTTGGGGAGAAGTAGGATTCTCCCCCAGGCTTCTTGACTCAAACCCTCTCACTCAGCTGGATACAAAACCCAGTGTCCACACTACTCCCAGCTCTGACACAAGGCCAAGCCCACAGAACACTCCCAAATGAGGTCCCGAGAGTTAGGGAATAGGGCGGAGGGAACTGGAGGGCATCTTCTGGAAGACAGCGCTGGGGCAGATCACAGTTTCCGCTCAACAGGTTGCTGTAGACACAGTTCGCTGCCCGCAGAGATGATAGGCAAGTGATTGTCCATGTGGTAGCTGATGAGGTGACTGACACTCTCAAAGCGGTGATCCTTTGTCCGAACCTGGGAGGGTGGGAAGGAAGGTGGTCAATTCAGGTGAAGAGTCAAGACCTCATCCTCCAAGGTGGAAGACTGTGAAACAGACAAGAGGCTTAAAGGAGAAAAAAATGGTGGGGGAGGGAGGGGCTTGTCAGTCCTGATCACTGAGGCTTCTCTAAAAAGAGTTGTAGGAATAGACAGGTCAGTGAAGTGGGAAAAGGCAGAGGAGACATCGACCCTGAAATGGAAGCTGAGACCTATATATCCCTTTCTTGACCTGGAGGAAGTTGGCGTATCTCAGAAGAGTATACACAGTACAAAAAAAGATGTGGAGGCCAGGTGTGGTGGCTCGTGCATGTAATCCCAGCACTCTGGGAGGCCAAGGCAGGTGGACCACTTAAGCCCGGAAGTTCAAGAACAGCCTGGGCAACATGGCAAAACCCCATCTCTACCAAAAAAAAAAAAAAAAATTAGCCAGGTATAGTGGTACATGCCTGTAGTCCCAGCTACCTGGGAGGCTGAGGTGGGAGGATTGTTTGAGCCCCGGAGGCAAAGGCTGCAGTGAGCTGTGCTGTGCCACCACCCCCCAGCCTGGGTGACAAAGTGAGACCCTATCTCATTTAAAAAAAAAAAAAAGGAAAAGGAGGGTGAGATTACTGTAGAAAACAAACAAAATTTTTTTGTTTCCAGACAGGGTCTCTGTCACCCGGGCTAGAGTGCAGTGGCACAATAATAGCTCACTGTAACCGAGAACTCCTGGGCTCAAGCCATCCTCAGGCCTCAGCCTCCTGGGCAGCCAGAACTACAGGCATGTGTCACCATTCCTGACTAATTTTTTATTTTTTTTTTTACTTTTGTAGAGATGAAGTCTCACTATGTTGCCCAGGCTGGTCTCGAACTCTGGCCTCAAGCAATCTTCCCACCTCAGCCTCTCAAAATGTTGGGCTTACAGGCTGGAGCCACCATACCTGGCTAAACAACCAGAGTTTGGAGGAACAGTAAGGCAGTACAGATAAGAGAAAGCACAACCATCTGAGTCCCAAATCTGGGGAGCTGGGGAAGCCCGTGGATCTTCTTACAAAAGGAAACTTGCAGTGTCTAGCCTCTAACCATCTGAGTTTGGGCATCACAACCTCTTCAGGGTGGTCTCCTCATTTGTCAAAAGAGGGGCACAGATGAGATGACTGCCTTCTAGCTCTGATAAGCTTACAGCTTGGGGATTTGAGGAGGAGCCAGGGCTGTGTTTATTTTGTTTTATTTTGTTTTTTTAGGCAGAGTCTCACTCTGTTGTCTAGGCTAGAGTGCAGCAGTGTGATCTCGGCTCACTACAACCTCCACCTCCCAGTTCAAGCCATTCTCCTGCCTCAGCCTCCCGAGTAGCTGAGATTACAGCTGTCTGCCACCACACACAGCTTTTTTTTTTTTTTTTTTTT